TCTAATTTTAATTATTAAAAAAAAATGGGCGTTCTAGTCTAAGAAACCATAAATAAAGCTAAAATTTCTTTAATAAATCAAATGATTTGTCTCTTGTTTGAGAAAATATATTTCTATTACACCAAAAAATTTCTACCTGGCTTATCGACCGGATGTACCGACAGGTAGAGACCCTTATTGGAATCGGGGAAAGCCACCCAAGTGGGCAAACAAGCCGTTAAATTCAAATTTAACCATCCCGTGAAGCTTCCAGTGGTATTAACTGCAGAAATATACTCCAATTCCCTCTCACTGCAAGAATTAACACTAATAAAAAAACTAGGTGAAATAAAGTATGTACCCCGAGTCGGTATTAACAAGTTCAAACACGGTAACAGTGTAGACATTTCTGGCCTTTTTCGGCGAAAGAATTTCCTTTTGATAAATCCTCAATTCAGCGCCGACTACATTTTCCGCAATGGGCATTTCGGACACATTAAACCACAGCCTTTTGCCCCTTTCGTGACGCACACTGCTGACATGGTGGTCTAAAACCCAAAACATGTAATCAAAATCGCAAAAATGCGAAAAACTCCTCACTTATGCTCTCGAAAGTCATGATAACGTCGCTCTCGTCGATGGCGTTTTGCTCATCTCCGCTGAGGTTCAAATCGGCGCTCCGCTCGCTCCTGTGGCCCCCATTCTCCTCCTCCATGAGCGACTTGTAGATGTCGAGGAGGAACCTGGGGGCCGAGCGCTTCAGCGACTTGCTCACCCTCTTGGGCCGCTCGGGGAGGCCCAGCAGGTTCAAAATCTCCATTTCCATTTCGCGCTTCTCAGCGGGGGTCATCTCGCGGTCGATGATGGTCTGGTTGAGGCCGTTGTCGATGTAGACGCCCGCGTGGGGCCAACATAGCACCTCTCCAAGCACCAAACTAAACACTAGCACGAAGTTCATCGCGGGACTTGGACGCAAACACGGAATTTTCGCTCAGGAATCCGGATAGTGCGGAGGTGGACCAAGAGGTGTTGTCAAGTTGGGGGCGAAGAGAGCGAAACCACAGGCCTGGTTTATGGGCAAAGGACGAAATGTGGCAATGGTGGACGGGATTACTTAAGACAGGTTTTAGCGCCGCAAGCGTCCAATCATGAGCCGGCTGACGACGCTTGTTATTTACTTAATTAATTCATTCAATGAGATGTTGTTTACGATGTTTGTGTTGGACATATATTACTTTTTTACAATAAAACTGTGGAATTTTATTGCGATTCGTCTGAATTTTCAAGAAAAATCATCAAAATTGACCATTTGGCGCAAGTGATTTTAAATTGCCCGCCATATTAAAGTTGGCACTACTTAAAAATTAAAACCAAAAATGTAAAACTTCCAACGCAATTATTGATCACTTATCTATCTATTTGATAAAATCAATTGTTCAAGATAAGTCACAGATAAGGGATTTTTTCTTGTTGGTGGTGATTTTTTAAACACAATTTTGTTTTTTTTTGTACAAGAAAAAGTTAAAGCAAAATTGGGAAAAACTTTGTTGTCAATTTTTGTTTAATTGATAACTTTTGGGTATATAAGTAAAAAACACTAGTACATTTATCCTAATTTTTGCGCAATTTCCGAGAACACAAAAACACATTACGTTTGCGATGGCACTTATTTTATTTAATCTGAGCACTTTTGAAAGAAATTATCTTGATTTTTGCCTACACGAGTGATCTATTATTATATAAAATGTATACAGGCTGCGCCAGAACTCACGCCCCAGAAAAAAATGGCATATATGGTAAGATACCAGGAACATGGAAAGAATGTTAAAAAAAATTATCTATAAAAATTTCGAAGTTTTGAGAGTTTAAATTTTGCACTTTGACTATTTATTTCTGATGGAAAAATAATTTTCCAAGTTTTTTTGCTATAGGCTATTAAAACAGGAAACAAGGAAGCTGTATCCTAAATTGTAACTCTCTTCAATGTTATTTGTGGCTTTTATTAGAAAAATTTTTGTCCTTTTACTAAATAATTGTAAAAAAACATATACAAGATCATCAGTATCATTAAATAGATACAAAAAAATGTCAACTGTCAAAAAATAAATGTCAAAATTTTTTGACAGAGAATTTTTTAAACATTTTTTTCATGATCCTGGTATCTTACCTTACTTGAAAGTTTTATCTGGGGCGCGAGTTCTGGCGCATCCTGTATAGTGATAAATTGCTAAAAATAAATTTGGTTGCATATATGAAAATCGGACAAGTTTGTCAAAAAATACAGATGGATCAAAAGTAGCGTAATTTTATTTGGCAATGAATTTTATTAAGTAACGACGTTATCAGTATTGTTTTAAATGTTTATTTTTTTGATAGTATCTTTTTTAAAGATGCAACTTAAAAAAAAATAATGATGACGTCATTACTCAAAATCCAATGACGTCATAAATGTTACAATACTGTCAACATGTGCATTTATAAAAATAAAATCGACTTGTTTGAGGATTGAAAACTGACACCTACCAACCCAATCTCATTACGATGTTTGTGTTGGACAATTTTTACTTTTTTTCCAATAAAACTGTGGAATTTTATTGCGACTTGTCTAAATTTTCAAGAAAAATCATCAAAATTGACCATTTGTTAACTTGGCACAAGTGATTTTAAATTTCCCGCCATATTAAAGTTGGCACTACTTAAAAATTAAAACCAAAAATGTAAAACTTCTATCACTTTTTTTCAAATAAAACTGCAATTCTAGTCATAAAAATTAAAATATTTTTCCTTCCATATTAAAGTTGGCAATAGTAAAAATCTCCACTATTTAAATTTGCTAATTTATACACTACCCGCTAAAAACTTTTATACGAAATAATACACATTATTTAAATTTTTTTTGGAAACTCATTAATTTTACTTTTTTGACATCTTGGTGAAAAACTCTACAACAAGAAAAGTACTAGAATCGCTATGCTAAAATTTGTAA